ACCCGAAACCCGAAACCCTAAACAACCTCAACCTCAGAGCCCGAAGACTTCAAGGCGCAGCCTCTAAAGCATCGAGCACCCTTTAAAACCTTACTTTTAGGGGGATTTAGGGTTTAGGGTNNAGGGTTTAGGGTTTAGGACTCATGATGAAGGGGTCTGAATAACTGCCAATAGTATCCCTTCCGGGCCCTCATTAGAAGTATTGTATAGTAGACCCCAAGACGCTGTTCCCTTTTTTTTTATTAGGGCCCCGACCGTAGCTACCCCTTCTGGGAAGCCCCTTGTGAAAAACCCCGAGGATGACCGGCAGGTCGAGATATCTCCTCGAGGGGAACCGCCGCAGCTCGCGGCCCCTTGGAGTGGATTTTGGTTTGGGTAGTTTTCCCTAAACTTGGGTCCCGTTTCACCCTTATAAACAGGACCCTACAAGGGACCCTACTTTAGAGGACCACCCATGTTTTTGGTTGGTAATGTTTTTGCGCAAGCTGGCTTCAGCTGTTTTGGTGCAGTGTTTAGGGTTTCGGGCTTGGGCCTTTGGAGGTTGGGGTACTCTTATATGCTTGCCCTGGCTGTAAATCGTTTTCACGACCGCGTGTTGAATGGAGTTGTAGAGCCCCAAACCTAAACCCTAAGCTCTAAATCCTAAGCATGACTGTTCTTCGTACTGCTGTTGCTGTAGATTTTACCCTGCCTCTATATGTATTTTAGTTGTCCTTAGTTGAACTCTTAACCCGCTGCCGCGTTGCACTCAAGTCCACAGCGTGTAAAAGACCGCACAGGGTTGACTTAACGGTGATTGTAGTGCACTAGCTGTAGCCTGCGAAACTTCAGTTGCCAGAAGACCTTGTCTCTGAATGCCGTCCTTGCTGATGATGTTTCCCAGGTTCGGGGGCGTGGGACACTAAACTGAAATCCTTACAAAAACCCAAACCCTAAACCTTGTACCCTAAACCCTAAAACCTAAACCCTAAATCCTAAACCTTGAACCCTAAACCCTCAACCCTAAACCCTAGAGCCTAAACCCTAAATCCTAAATCCTGAACCCTAAACCCCAAATCCTTCAGCCGGAACCCTAAACCCTAAACCCTAAAATCCAAAACCCTGAACTGTAACCCCCTGGAGTAGCAGGTACCTGCTACGGCTGCTACGTCTTCATCGGCGATGCCGAGACCGGAGGGCGAGGCGGTGGGCTTTAGGGTTTTGGGCTTTCTGGGCGTAAGTGTTGGGTCCAGGGATTTCCATATTTAGGTTTCAAAGTTCAGGCTCCTGATGTTCACTCTCCTTGTCTAAAGCTCTCTTTCTTTTCTTTTGTCTTCCCTGTCTGATCTTACATCTCTATGGAGGATGCTGGATGAATGGAAGAATGGACCGATGGTCTTCAAACCTTCAGGCTTTCGAAAAGACATACCCTGCAATTTAAGCCCTAACAGCGGCCTGCACCCGCAGCCCCAAGGGGAACTTTCTTGTTAAAAAAATATTACGCCTTTTTTGCTTACACGCGCTTACGTAGCGGGCGGAACCATGTCCTCCTTCCCAGAGATTCCAATACCCCTCAATTAAGGAATATACCTTAAATCTAATTAGGGATCCTACTATGATTTAAGGTATATTCCTTAATTAAGGGGTATTGGAGTCTCTGGGTTCTCATGTTTTCGAAGGGCTCCTGGATTGGGGTAGGAGGAGGGAAGGCTGGGGGTTCAGGGTTTCGGGAGGGTTTACTTTTTCCTAAAAAAAACCTACTTTTTTGTAGGTTCCGATTACAAACCCTAATATGGAATTTATAGGGACCCTACAAAAAAGTAGGTTTTGGTCGGTTAAGGTACGGTTTAGGGCTTAGGATGGCACCTACAAGAGTCATAGCCTACACGGTTTGAGAAGGTTCAATTTCCCAAGGCTCGTTGCTGCAGTTATTCGTCCCAGACGCGAAACGGCTTAGCCCGTGACCTCATTGAGGATTCGGGGTTTAGGAGGTTTTTAGGCAGGGTCTAAGGTTTTGGGATCACGGTACACGGTGCACCCTTGAGCTTGCTTTCCCGTAAGTGCATAGAGCCCAGAGTGGTGTGAGACCGTTCTGCCGACAGGCCCTTGTGGACGAGGACGCAGCGCCAGCATTGCATCGTATTCGGAATGGCTGCGACAGCCTCGACTTCGAAGCCCATGGGTGCCATGCCGATAATGACGGAACTGCACTCGCAGCAGTGGTATTGTCAGTATAGGGACAGTTAGGTGAAGAGCGAGAACAGAAGCAAACATGATTGCGACCAATGAAAGGGACAATGCTAGTGATGTGGGTGTCGAAGCTGAGGATGTTTTTTGCTTATTGCCGTCGACAGGGGTGGTCGTTGTCGTCGTTGTCGTCGTGGTTGTTCAAGGCTTCTTCCATTGATAGCCTTTTCTATCCCAAGCCCTCAACTCCTGGCCCTAAACCCTAAACCCCAAACCCTTAAACCCTAAACCCCTAAACCCCTAAACCCAAAACCCCTAAACCCTAAACCCTAAACCACAAATCTCAAACCCTAGAACAATCGTTGACCTGTCCTAAACGATCCTGAACCCTAAACTCCGAAGCTTGGTGCTATAGGGGCCTTAAAAAATTACCTATACTATTTGGGGGGGTCCTTATTATAACCCTAGAATAACACACCCCAAAACCCTATTCAAACTATTACGGCCCCTAAACCCTAAACCCCCTGTACTATAGTCGCCCTTATAGAACCCTTTAAGGAACCCTTTAAAGGAGCCCCCAAAACCCTATTCTAATTATTAAGGTCCCTAAACCCTAAACCCTAAGGTAAAAAAAAAAAC